AAATTGAAATTGGGTCACCATGTAACACAGCGTTTCTGCTTCTTTATCTGTACCCCAAAAAGCTAGATTCAGGACTTCATAGGTACACTTACGTTCTCATGTTCATGCCAGCAATCCTCACAGAGGTCAAATATTTTCCATCCTTAAAAATGATGGCCCCTCTTGTACAAGCCACAGTATAGGTTAACCCTGAAGACATTATGCTGAGTAAAACTTCACAAAAGGATGCTGTGAGATTCCATGTGTATACGGTGTCTAGATCAGCCAATCCATGGGAATGGAGAGTAAACAATTGAAGGCCAGGGTGTAGGCAAGGGAGGATGGGGGAGTCATTGTTCATGGATATGAAGGCTCTGTTTGTAGAATGAAGAGGTTCAGAGATGGGTTGCACATCAACATGGAAACACTCACCACTTCTGAACTACACATGTAAAGAGGGTTAAATGACAATTTTAAAAACACTTTTTATTACATTCATTGGGATTGGGGCATACATGTCATGAAAACACATGTGGAGGCCAGAGGATAATTTATGAGAGTCAGTTCTTTCCTCTTCCCATGTAGAAAGAACTCAGGTCATCAGGCTTGGCGGTAACTGCCTTTACCCCCTTTGAACCATCTCATCAGGCCAAGACAGCAGTTTTATGTAATACATAGCATAAAAGGAATGTGTAACATCATGGGGTGATTTGCTCAATGTGTGACCTGTAGACCAGCAATCCTAGTCCCTCTGTGGAGCCTGTTGCAAACACAGACCCCAAGGTCCATCCCATGCCTGTGGTGTTTTCAACAAGGCTCCAGGTAGTCCCTGCGCAGACTTTGAAAGAAGCCTGCCTGTGCTGGACTATTAGAAGATGATGTTTGACTCTCAAGCATCTGCTTTTCTCTTCTGTCCTTCCTATCAGGAAGCTGCCGTTGGCTGAGCTTCAGGGAGACTGAGCTCATCACCCTGTGATGATCTCTCTCTAGGACAATGACATGATGGGGAGGGAGGTGGCCATGTTGTCTGATTCTAGGCCTTGAAACTAAGGGAAGGTGATGTCCCTTTAGGAACACTCAAGGAGAAATGGAGCCACCTTCCTTTGGGCAGAAGGGATCAGAGAAAATTCTGCCAGCACCTTGGAACCCAGAGGACAGAAAACCTGCTCCTGATGAGACTATTGAGACACCAATTGACAAAATCCCAAATCTCTGTCATCAGAAGCTTTTTTTGGTTATGTGAGATTGGGAGTGGATCTACTGTCTAAGAGTGTTTGAATCCATATTTTCTATTATTTATAGCCTGGGGTCTCTAACCTCATCACTATTGACATTTAGGGCCAAAGATTTCCTTTTTAAAAGCAATGCGTTTTTAAAATATGTACAAAGCAGTGTTTCATTATGACATTTTCACACATGTATATAACATACTTTGATCACATTCTCCCTGACACCTCCTCCCCCTCCTCCTGTTCCCTTCTTTTTCTCACATAGTCCCCCCTCTACTTTTTTTTCAATCTGACTCTGCACATGAGAGAATGCATGCAATATTTGTCTGCATCTGGGTTTTTTGTTTAACAGGATGATCCCCAGTTGTGTCTTTTTTCCCACAGCAAATGACGTAATGACTGAATAAAACCCCATTGTGTATACAGACAGCATTTTTTATGTATTCATCTGTTGGTGAGCATCTAAGCTGGTTCCGTATCCTGGCTGTTGTGAATAGCGCTAGAGTAAGCATGGGTGAGCAGGTGTCTCTGTGGCCTGCTGACTTAGATTCCCTCAGGTCTCTGTCCAGGAGTGGTAGATATATTTGGGTCATGTGGTAATTCTGTTTTTATTTTTGAGGAATTTCCAAACAACCACTTTCATAGTGATTGGGTTGATTACATTCCCAATCAAACCGTGTGTAGTGGCTTAGGACCAAACAATTATCATTATTAGAAATAACAGAACCATCTTATAGCATTTATTGTCCCCTGGTAATAATATAAAGGTCATTAAAGTAATACGGAGGAATGGCTTAGAACTGTTCTCCCAGTCCAAACAGCTGAGCTGCCTTTCCTACAGCAGCTCTAGTCCTCACAGCTTCTAGTAGATACTTTGTAGCAGAACTCTAGCCCTTTTAGCATGGTCCCACCTAGTTTTCTGTAGTTCCTTCAGACTCTTTTACATTATGTAATAGGAGAATCAAGTACTTGTCCAAACCAGTAACAACTCTCATCTACATCTTCAAGTAAAATGTGTGTGGTGGTCTGTAGAGTAACACCTGAACCTGGGCGCTCTCTCTCTCTCTCTCTCTCTCTCTCTCTCTCTCTCTCTCTCTCTCTCTCTCTCTCTCTCTCTAGCTCGCTCTCTCTTCCTCTCTCTCTCCTCCCCTAAAGGCCAGGTTCATGCTTACAAAGGGAAAGTACCCATATGAGAATTGACTGGGGTTCCCTAAAATCTCTGAAAGAACCCCCTAGCCACTGGAGTCTCCTCTTTCCAAACAGCTCCTCTTTCTTCCAGTACCCCTCAAAGCTGTACCCCCACCTCCCGAGTCTACCCCAGCCTGCCTTCCTCTCACCTACCATTGGTTCTTCATCTGTCTGTGCTTTCACGGCTATCCCAGATAATTCTAGATTGTGGGGACTGTCCTGAGCAAGTTTTCTAGTGTTTGTGGACTCGCCCATTAGATGCCAGTAGTGTCCCCCTACCCACTGGCCTCCCATTTTGACAATCAAGAATTACTCCTTTGCAGGTTCAAGTCCCACCAGAGTCGCCCAAAAAAAAAAAAAAAAAAAGAAACAAAAAAAAAATAAATTCAAGGCCAGCCTGGTCTACAAAGAGAGTTCCAGGACAGCCAAGACTGTTACAGAGGGAATTCCTGTAAAAAAAAAAAAAAAAAAAAGAATTACTCCTGTGGGGGGCTGGAGCGATGGCTCAAGTGGTTAGAGCACTGACCGCTCTTCCAGAGGACCCAGGTTCAATTCCCAGCTCCCACATGGCAGCTCACAACTCTCTTTAATTCCAGCTCCAGACAATCTGACACCCATGGCAAAACACCAATGCACATTAAATAAATAAATAATTGATAAAATAAAATAAAACCTCTGCTTTACACTGGCATTTAAAACAAACAAACACACAAAAAAGAATTACTTCTGTGGAGCCAATTCACCTGAGCAAGATCCACTGAAGTCATCCTAAAGAACACCAAGACCTTTCACTGCCATCCCTGCTGTGGGCCTAGAGAGGAGACACGCTCCTGCCATCTCCTTAGAGGTGTTTGGAGGTATTTCAAGGCGCTGAGTGGGTTCAGCTGTGGGAAAAACAAACACAAGAAATTGTTCGGGTCTTTGATGGGGCTGGCACACTGATAACATTGTTGTAGTTTCCATTTGTTGTTAGGTATCGTGGGGGAGGTTTATCTTACCAGATGGCTAAGGTGGATAGTAGGTGGAATTTTCCCTCAGCAAAGTTAGCGTGGCCCGTGGGACTTCCAAGCTATTCCTCATTCAGAAATCCTGAGCCTGGCCTGCGCTGAAGCAGACCACTAATTCCAACCATTAGCTTGTAGATCCAAGGGTGCTGAGGAGTTCATCTGCTAATGCTGGCCCTAAGCAGTCTTTTGTATTAGGAAACAACACACAGATAAAAAGAGGTTGAAGCCCTCCGAGTCATGGTTAGGGTTCACGCGTCTACAGATCTGAGTAGCAGTGTGAGAGGACCCTCCACAGCCTCTCCTGTCTTCTCTCCTTCCTAGGGTCTACAGACACAGAGACCTCTAAAATTAGAGCCTTCCGGATCCATCTTTTCTCGTAGAGTTTGCTTTCAACTTTAAGGTGTTCCAAAACGAACCGGAGGACAAGGAGGCTTACAAGAGGAGAACTGCTTGGCACAAAGGTCAGGAGGGTGGAGACGGGAATGGAGAGGTTGGATGTATCTGATCACACGTTTATGTTGTCAAGAGTCTACCATGTGTCAGTCAAGGTACCCTAAGCACCAGGCTGCGGTGGGGAGAGAAGGCCATGAGGAGGCAACAGCAGCCCTTGGGTCCTCGTGATCTACTGAGGATTTCTGTGGTAGATGTTCTCTTGCCCTGTTCTGATGCTGGGTAATCATTTCTAGCAACATGGTAAACATCCCAGGTTTTGACCCAGCACCCCGGACCCAGGCAGCTCAAGAGCTTCGCCATCCTAGAGGAAGTACATGCACGTCAGGCCAGAACTTCTATTATAGGGCCTCGGGTATGACAATATGGACTACAGAAAGCATTTGTTAAGACTTTGTAGGGCAAAATAACTGTTTTCTTTTCGGAAGGGGGTCCTGCTTACAAAAGTCATGGTGGGCTCTAGTGCAACCAGCTTATCTCTGAGGAGAATTTAAGCTAAGACTTGAGCTGATGAACAAAGGCTGAGTCAAGAGAGCTATGTTGATCCAAACATGTCCAACCACTTTTAGACTTTTTGATAGTGTGTATGAGCCATTTAAAACGGGTTTTTCCCCCCTCAAATCACAAGCTGAAACAGAAATTGACATCGAGAAAAGGATTCTGCAATGAACAAGCCTCAAATGTGGGATCGGTTGAGAAGAGATGTTCATCCCAGCGCAGCAAGGAAGGTGGTGATCTTTGCTCCACTGGAAAACTGGCTGTGCTGAGACATAGACCTTGTGCTGACAGAGCCGTGATGGGAGGCAATGCATATTCCCCAAATTCCCTAGCTTTGAGGGTTTAACCCAGGGTGTTGTGAATGCCAGGCAAGGTGTTCTATCACGTGTGTTAATCTGACTATATTAGAAGGTGTCCAGAACTGGTGTCCGTGGGGTGTGTCCAGAGAAGACAGACATATAGGCAAGGACAGGGGTGGGGCTGACCTGAATACAGGTGATCCCATTCGATTGGCTGATGGCTGGGGTCGAATAAAGCTGGGTAGGAAGGAAGTCAGGGGCATAGGTAACTCTTCTCTTCTTGAGCGAGTGTAACAATATCTGACACAGTTTCAGAAACACTTCAGTCCATTGAGGCTGGAAAAGCATGATGGGAGCCGCTCTTGGTAGTGGGAGTGCCTGGCAAGGAATCCTCACATTGTAGCAGACTAAAAAGCTGAGAACACACGCCCGAAGCAGTGGAGGGTCTAACCTTCAAAGGCCCCCACCCTTTGTGACCTAGTTTCTTCAGCCAAAGCCCTTCCTCCTAAAGGCTCCACGGCCTTCAAAATAGTACCCCAAGCTGGGGACCATTCGTTCAAAATATGAGCTGGTGGGGGGACATTTCAAACTGTGACAGAGTCCAGAGCATGAGGAGTTGTTTTTTTGTTTGTTTGTTTGTTTGCTGGTGGGTGGTTTCGAATGTTTGCTTTAGCTTCTGGAGATCTCTCCCAGGGCCTCATGGCCACCAGGCAAGTGTCTTACCGCTGAGTGCCACTCCCAGCCTCTGTGTGGACATCTCACAGGAGGGGCTCAGGATAAGGGCTGTGACAGCAGTCTTGATAAAGAAGTGGGATTGCCTCGATTGTACCACATCCAACCTCAGCCTGGACTTTGGCTCTTTATGATGCCTTATCTGCCAACCATCACAGAGTTTGATAAAAGCTAAAACACAAGGCTGACAAAAAAAAAAAAAAAATCAGGTGGCTAAGAGAGAGGACAGGTTAGTTAGCCAACGAAAGCAGTTCGTTGTTACCTTATGACATTTTCTTTACATTTTTTTTACATGTATCATTAGTGTGGTGGTGGGTACATGTGCTATGGTAGGCGTAAGGAAGTCGGAAGACTACTTCATTTCTGTTACTGTGGCAAATCATGGACAAAAAGCAACCTGGGGAGGAAAAGATTTATTTCAGCTTACAATTCCAGGTTGCCATCATGAGGGGATGTCAAGGAAGGAACTCGGCAGCTAGTCATACCTCGCCCACATTCAAGAGCAGAGCAGAGAGAAAAGACGGCACTCATGCTACCTGCCTGCTCAGCTAGCTTCCTTCTGTTTTACACCGGTCAGCAGCCTTTGCCTAGGGAACAGAGCCACCCACAGTGGGCCAGGTCCTCCTACGTCAATGAACGATACATTCCCCTCTAGACATACATGCCCATGGGCTAGCCTAATCTAGGCAATCCCTCATCCAGACTCTCTTCCCAGGTGACTCCAAATTGTGGCAAGTTGGTCTTTAAAACTTAACCACTACACACTGGTTTAGAAGATTAAACTCAGGTCATCAGGCTGGTGGCCAGTGCCTTTACCCAGAGTCCTCTTACCAGCCCAACAATTGTTTCTGTGGGTGTGTTGGGTGAAAGAGATGGAAAGGGGCTTAGAGTTCTTAGCGTTTAGCTCGCCTTCACTTGTCATGGAGTTGCACTGATCTAACTCATCCACAGCCATCAGCACACTTCTCCTCCATCCAGGTAGGAAGGGAAGTGTAAAGGCCTCCAGCACAGGACAGCACACCTGGCATTTCAAAGTCCCCAGTAGATGTGGAATGATAGGCTCCAGCCTGCCATCTGTTGCCCTCCGTCCCTTAGACAGAGGGACCTCCCCAACGTCCACTGTAGTATGAGCAATCAGACGTCTAACCCTTTCTCCTCCCGTATCTGTTGCAGCAGATGGACCACATGTCTCCTAGGCTGAGAGCCTTCCTCTCTGAACCCATTGGGGAGAAGGATGTGGCCTGGGTGGACGGAGTCAGTCGGGAGCTTGCCATCAATTTGGTCACCAAAGGTTTCAACAAGGTACATTGTTTTTTCTTCCCTAACTCTTCTTTCTAAGCTGCCTTCCTCTAGCCAGATGGCAGCCCCTGCCATGTGCCTCAGTGAGTGGCCATCAGAGAAAAAAGCTGACTCTTGGCAGGATGCCACGGACTTCACGCCACCGACCTCATGTGCTTAGGAGTCTCCAAGGCTTGTAGATGATGGCAAATAGAATTGCTTCTGTTCAGAGCAGCCAAGGCTGACAGGGTCAGCTCAGTACTCAAACACCCAGGACTTGACAGAGCCAGGCCTGCTACAGAAACCTGGGACAGAGCTGTCAGGATGGATGATGTGGGTGCACTCTCCACTTCCAGGGCAGGGTCTTCTTGCCTGTCTCTGTCCGGGCACCAGCATGACAATGGCATGTTGAGAGCCAGCAGTCTGGGAGCTCCACCTAGGTGAGGAGGTAAGAGTTATTCTAAGATTCGTTCCTAGCCTGAGAATGGCCTCAGGGATAGCCATTGGGATTGAAATGAATTAGTCTACTTTCCATTGCTATAACAAAATACTTGACTCTGGGGACTTGATAAAGAAAGGATTTCTACTTAGCTCATAGTTTTGGAGGTTAAAAGTCTGATATTGGGTGACATTATGTGTTTGGCCTCTGGTGAGGACCCTCCCAGCCACATCACAGCATGGTATCATGGGTAGGAGCTGGTGTGAGGAGATGATAGGGTGAAATAGAAAGCCAGAGGGTGCAAAAGGACCATTCTGCTCTGTTTATTCCTTTGTTTTGGTGCTTTGGATTGAATTTAGGGACTTCCATTTGCTAAGCATGTCCTTTGCCATAAGCTATATCCCCAAGGCCCCATTCATGCCCCTTTTACACAAATTGCTCTCTTAAGAACTAATCAGGGTCCTATGAGAGCTATATTGTTCCCTTCCAAGGACAATGCCATTAATGATCAAGTTATCCTCCACTAATATAACAAAAACATTTAAAGGCCCAGAACTGTTGCATGTGTATATGTGACTGACATTATACTTGTTTTGTACCCAACTCTTAACATCTGGGCCCATGGTTTCTGACTGGCATGCTGCACTGTACCTGTTATTATGTGTTGTGAATCTCACCCCCCTTACTCAGCCAAGTGAATATCCACTTCGTGGTACTGTCAGAGTGAGCTACATGGCTGAGGGGACTTGATGCTTTCTTCTCTGATCAACGGGGAGGACCATTCCCAAGCAGCTAAATGAAGGAGGCCATTCTGACTAAGGGAGAATTTTTAAATTACATAGCTTTTTCTTTAAAGAGGTGATCATTCTTTTCCTTTTATTATTATTTTTTTTACATTAGTTATTTTTCTCCTGGTTGTGACCAAATACCTAACACAAAGGAAAGCTTGTTTTGTCTCATAGTTCAAAGTCATACAATCATTATGGTGGAGAAGGCATGATCTGCAATGTCACCAGGAAGCAGAGGAAGGAGAATGCCCATGCTCATCTGGCTTCCTCCTTTGCCCTCCATCCATAGGATGATGCAACTCATGTTCAGGGTGGATAGTCCTGCATTCAGTTCATTCTCTTTTAAAGCAACTTTACAGATAAGCTCAGAGGTGTGTCTCCTAGGGGATTCCAAATCCAGACATGTTGACAATGAAGATTAAGCAACACATTCCTCTACTGTGTATAGTACACACAGTATGAAGTGTAGGGCCCAGTATATTTTTTACATAGATAGATATACCCATGTACCTACCACCTAGGTCCAGGGACTGGATACCTCCCAACTTCCTTCCAGATGGCTTCCTATACCTCCTCCCAAGCAGAGTGAATCCCATCCCCAAAGGTGCCCATTGTTCTCTTGTCTACCATGTTTCCATAACTGGGTTGTTCCTTTATGCTCAGCATTTAAAAAATATTCTTATCGATGTATAATTGTGTGCAATGATTTTATCCCTTTTAAATCACGTAGTTCTATGGCTTTTGTCTGTTTATTCTTTTGAGATAGGGTTTGGGGATTCAGGCTGGCTTGCTCATCATTGTGTAGCCGAGGCTAGCTTCAAACTTGCGCTTCTTCTACCTGATTTTCCTGTATGTTACAGACAGATGCCACTACACACAGCAGTTCTGTGACTTTCTACAAATGCATGGTCAGGTAGCCATTACCCAAGACAAAGGGCAGCCCCAACTCTCCCTGTGAAACAACATCCTCTTTCCCTGCCAACTTTTGCTTTGTTTTGTGGTATAGTCTTGCCTTCTCCTGCTGAACTCTGCTCTAAGTAAGGACTATAGGTAGAGAGACAGATGTGGTAGAGATAACGGAATGAGTGAATAAATAGACATGTTTCAGGTTCCTGACTCTGGCATAGGACTTTAGGGAGTTCCTATGGGCGTCTTAGTACATGGACAAGAACTCTCTTTATGCTCATGGCCAGCACGGTGTCCAGCATTCCCCTCAGGGCCCTGAGCATTCCCAGAGCTACTGACTCCTGACACTGATGGGGGCTGGTAATTGTCCTTTGATTTGAGTTTCTTGACCTTTAAAGGTCAGTGCAAATGGAGGCATGACCAGTGTGACCCAGTGGTAGTGCTTGCCCAGCACCTGAGAGGATCTGGGGTCCTCATCCAATACCACATTAAGATATAACACAACACAAAGTAATAAAGTCCAGTAAAATAAAAATGCAGTGCAGAGGCTTTGAGAGTTGGCTCTGTGAGATCCCCAGTGGGAATGAGAATGGCCACAGGTTGTACTGTCATAAACAACACAAGATTCATGCACTTATATCCAGCAGGAAGGGACTTAGATTAAGATTTGGCAGTTATAAAAAAAAAAAAAGATTTGATAGTCATATTCCACATCAGCACCTGGGACCCATCAGACCCTGACTGAGCCCATAAGAGTACCCAGGAGGATGCTCAGGTGTGTCACCTACAAGGTGAACAAATGCATCAGGATGCTGATGGATCTGTGGGCACGGCCAGAATGACAGATCTGAGATAAGAAGGTTCCATAAGGCAGGGATCTCGGGACTAGTCAATGAAAATGCAGCCCAAGGGGTACTCATTTTCTGCCCATGGGGGACCTACAGGGAGGAGGTCTTTCAGGGCCTCATCCCAACCTCTGTCTTTACCAGCCTCTGTTGAAGTGCGGCCATCATTTTCTTCCTCTTCTCTCCCCAGGCTGAGTTCTCATCTTTGCCCTGAACAAATATTGCCTCAGGGGTCACACTTGTTTGCAAAACATTCTTGGCATTTTCCCAGGGGCAGTGGCTCTCCCAGCTCCTTTTGTGCCTGTGCTAAATGGCTAGCGGGATGCAGCTCCATGGGCTGCCCTCACACCTGCTTGCCTGGGCTCTTCACTAGGGCACCAGCTCTCTCCAGAGCCACCAGGCTGCTGAATGCACAGGGAACAAGAAATCATTAATTAGCCAGCAAGGATGCCCCCACACATCTATCGCCTCTCTAGGGGTGTGGCCTGAATTGAGCAGACATCTTCCCTAACACTCACCAGACCTTCTAGCACCTTCTCCCCTGCCCCTGTGCTGAGCTCCCTTCGCTTCAGCAGATGGCTGGCATGAAGAAACAGGACGTGTGTCTCCTCCTCTACCCCCAGAGCCTTGACTACAGCAGGCAGACTACTGGTCTACCCCTCATGGTTAAACCATGATCTTTAAAACTATTGATTATTCACAGGGTACAGGAGTGTATGCCTGTAGGCTCAGTGACCCGGGAGATTGAGACAAGAGAGTTATTTCAGCCTATAAATTCCAGACCAGCCTGGACAACACAGCGAAGCCCGGCTTCAAAAAGAAAACATGGGCCGGGGAGATGGCTGAAGGGGTAAATTATTTGCCATGCCTGAGCAAGATCCCCTGAACTCATGCAAAGCGTGATGTGGTAGCATATGTCTGTAGTATATGCACACAGCAAGTTTGGAGGCAGAAACAGGAGGCTTCTGTCTCACATAGTGGCAAACAAGACTGTCTCAAACTGGAAGGCAATGATTGACACCTGAGGTTGCCCTTTGACCTCTACATATGTGTGCTGCTGTAGCACATAAGTGCCCATGCACACGCCCTCTACACTTGCTTGCTCTCTCTTCCTCCTTTCTCTCACACACAAGATATTTTTTAAAGAAGAAAACATTAACTATTGACTCACCTGAACCTCTTCAGGGGCTCAGAGGCCAAAACATGTGACAGGTCTGGCTAGTTACTCAGCACTTGCGGATCACTGGGGCAATCAACTCTTGCCTGAGGACCTAAATGCAAAATGGTAGCCACTGGCCCTATGTCTGCTAAGCCCTTGTCTGCATGGAGATGGGCTAAAAACATCAAACATGCTCTTTGATGCTAAAGCCTTCCCCTAAAAAAGAATGTGAAACATCTCATAACTTTTTTTATCGATTACATACTGAAATAATATTTTGAAAATATGGAAGAAAAAAAAGTCTATCGTCGGAATGGATTTCGTCTTTTTCCTTCCCCCTTATTCCTTCTGTGGCCTCTAGAAGATTAAAATTACTTATGTGGCTGGCTCATTTACTATTTCTCCTGGACAGCAGTGGTCAAGATTTAACAGTGGCAGGAGAGCTGCTGGATGGAAAGGGATAATGTAAGCGGAAAAATCCATCATGCACATGGTGTCAGACCTGCCACAGCCAGGCTGGAGCTCTGTCTCCCTACCCACTGCCACACACACATAAAGTCAGACTGCGAGCATGAGCATCTGTGGACCCACCCTCTTCCAACCCGGGGTCCTTGAAGGGGGACCCCGGGGGCCAGTCTCATCCCAAAGACCCTCTGTTGTAATGTGAAGAGAGGCCGGAAGGCTGAGCTCAGGACCAGGAGGCCCCGGGACTGCCAGTTGCTGCCTTCCTCATGTCCCCAGGTTTTAAGGCTGAACTGCTGAGGAACCCAGTTTCTCCTGTCCTCTGCTGGCATTGGACCCTAACCCTGACATATGAACCTTGCGAGGAACCAGTTACTTAAGCTTGGAGGTTACTCTGTGTAGTGTGGTGAGATAAAATACAAGGGATCCAGTGGAAGTTGAATTTGTAAAAATAAATGAATAATGTAATAATATGGACACGTCTCAGGAGCACAGAGAAGAGGCAAGAGGGCCAGACCTGTATGGACTGAGCACTCACACTGAAGACTCAGTGCTTTAAGCTCGGAGAGACTCAGAAACACTGGGTTTGCAAGGGCACCCCTGGATACGTCTACTGAAGACCAAAGCGTGCATGTTTGTTGAAAGGAAACTAGAAGAGTCATACAATCACAGACAGCAGTGTCTTGCAACAATGGGAGGTACACTCTGTATGGGGGCTTGGGAACTGTTGATCAAGGGCAAGGGAATGTGCTAGAAGTTTGATAATAAGAAAAGCCACGACAGCCCATCTCAGTCTGACAAGGCCAGGTGCCATGATGAAGGGTCAGCATTTTAATGAGTACAGACTAGGGCCAGCTACCTGGTTTGCAGAGCCCAATGCAGAATGACAAGATGAGATCTTTTTAAATGTATCAAGGCTTATATCACTTCCCAGTCCTTGGGCTGAAATCAAGTGTAAATGTATCAAGACAGCATAGCATTAAAAGGAGTCTATGGACAAACGTTCTGTGTGCAGGGTCCCAGGCAGCTACAGGGATCAGCCTCTAGGCAGATTCAAATCGCTGCAGTTTAACAAGGACACTGGCTGTAAGAGACCAGTTCACACCACTTGGGGGAAGACCCTGGCAGAGTTTCCCTGGGTGGACTTGGAGTTGAGAGCAAGTCTGCCCGTGAGCCGCCATCTGTTACTGTAGGAAGAAATGTATGTCCCAGGCTGTGGCATGGCCACTGGCCAGGGTGACAGAAAGTAGAAAGTCCTGCCTGGGGGTCTGTGTTTCTGTACCACCCTCCTTGCCTCAGGGTTTCCGGTCAGGGGTTCATTTTCTAGAGGTAGTGGTGGAACCAAAAAGGCATTGGTTGGTCAAGACCAGGGTCCTAGACTCTTGTGACACCCTCGAGTATAAAGCAAGAAGGCAGTCCATCTCTGGACTCTCTGGAAGGTGCCAGCGTGGGACTCCAGGGAAAGCCCAGAAGGATGGAGTCTCAGATTGCAACTTGGCTCAGAGACCTTTCTCCCTGCCACGTTCCTGGAAAGCTTGCCTGGGTCCCGCCTGCCACACATTCCTGGGCTTCCTGGCCGCTGAGCCCTGCAGGCTACAGAGGCTCTGATTACCACACCAGCTGAAGCCGTGGCCAGCCTCAGAAACAGGCAGAGGATGCCTTCGTCTCCAGACTGGACTACAGATGGCTGGAATATGGAAGAAGAGGGTGGGCAGAGGAGGGAGTCTCAACCTCTCAACAAGGGACACCATCTAAAGAATGGGTGGGCAGAACACCCATGAGAATCAAACGGATTGATTTAGTACGTGTCGGGGTCTCCAGCATCAGGTGGCCCGCCAAAGGGCTCAAAAGTATCACTTGCTATTTGTCATTTTTTTTTTTTCCTCCTGGTGCTGAGGGCCTTGTGCCTTCGAGGGAAGAATTCTACTACTGACTAAATCCCTAAGCCCTGCAGCGTGTTGTTACAAATCTCACTGACAGTTCTTCTCCTGGGGAGCTCCGTGTATACCCTGTTGTACCACCCAGGCACTTCTACAACCGCAGCACAGGCCTCGGTGACCACTTAGTGAGCGCCAGGGCTGCGACATCACGATTTAAAACCATCTCAGCAAAAATAGGAGGACGCTGATAAAAAAAAGGAGATTGTGCTAAGACACTGGGTTTGGTTTTGTATTTTTTTAAAAAATAAAGTTGTGCCTTAAAATCACTGCAAGTCCATGGCTCCTTTCTCTTTTCAACAACTGAGCAATATCTAAAATTAAGCCCTGAAGGGCAGCAGGGAGCTCAGTGGTAGAGTACTTGTCGAGTGTGTGCAAAGCCCTGGGTTTATCCCAGCTCCACTGCAAAAAAGTAAAATAAAACCTACAAACTCTAATGTTCGAGCACCTTTTGTGACTAGGATTCAGCTTTTATTCAATTTTATGCACACACACACACACACACATAAACACACACATAAACACACACACATTTATATAGCCCCTTTGATTAAGATGAAATTTGCTTTGTTTTATGTAATGGAAAGTCAACACAGAGCCAATGGCAGGTTTTCCTAGGAAGGACCCGGAACTTGAAGGTATGGATGGAAGCTGAATCTCCTTCATTCCTAGCTAGAGAGAGAGCCTTTAAACCAGGCCCCAGTGATGGGTAGATAGTGCGACCTGAAATCTAGCCTCTGCTGTGTAGTAGCTATCTCATCCAGGGCTCTACTGTCTTGCTCCTTGGTAATAACAGTCTGGTGAAGATGTGAGAGCTGTGGGGGGCAAGAAGGCAGAAAACTCGTGACTACAAAATTGCTGTAGAACCAGGAATCAGGGTGCACTTAATATCTATACCTTCTATGTGTTTTACATTTCCCTTTTTGTTCTGGGGTGTGTGTGTGTATTACATGCACATGGGTGTACATGCAGAGGCTGGGGCAGGACGTCAGCTGTCCTGTTCTACTCTGTCTTACTTTCTTGAAAGAGGGTCTTCACTGAATCTGTAGCCAGGCAGCTGGCCAGCAAGCCCCAGCAAACTCTGACTTCACAGTGCTAGGGTTCGAGGTCCGTGTGTGACCACAGCCAGCTTTTTATGTGGGCATTCAGGACTTGAACTCGGGGCCTCAGGCTTGCACAGAAAATGTTCTTATTCACCGAGCCATTTCCCCAGTCTCTAATTTTTTAAATTAAGTTTTGGAGTTAACATTCCAAGTAACTGCTCCTGCAGTGACATTTTCATATATCTGTGCCATTATACTCTGCTCATGTGTTTTTTTATCCACAGACATTCTCGGGAATTACATTATCAGGAGCTCCCAGAGAAACAGGACCAGGAGATTATATATAATTATTAGAGGAGATTTGTTTATTATTTATTTTCGCACAATTGGAGCCTCCGCCTTGGCTGTCCACAGACTGGAGAGACAGGGAAATTGGTAGCTTGTCGCTCGGTCTGTGAAGCAGAAAAGCTCATTCAGAGAGAGAGAGAAAAGAGAGAGAGAGGCTAGTGATACAGCTCCAGTCTGAGGCTTGAAAAAGAGGGTCAAGGTTAAGCCTGATTTTGCCGCCTGTGCTGTTCCCTCGGGGATGACTCTCCTCAGCATGTGTCTTCCCTTGCCTTCCCATTTGACAGACTCTCAGGCAGGGCAGAGCAGTGCTGGGCCTCAGATTCTGTGACTCTCCTTTCCCGCTGAGATACCACGATCACACAGGTAGTTTGCAGGGTCAAATGCACGCTACTGTGCCCTTCCCCCGCCAGCCACACCTGCACTTCTCAAGCGAGCAAGATTTCTCCAGCAATATCTGGAAATCCTTATGATGTCTTCTGTCTTGGGACCTGGGGGGTGGCAGATGCTGTTCAAGGTCCCACAGTCCACAGGACAGTCCCCACAGTGTAGAGTCGTCCAGCGTGCTAGGAGGGAGCACTGAGGTTGAAGCGCCCTATATTCCGGCCATCGAGAAAGCAGTGGGCTAGCTAACTCTAGCTCAGCTTTGGATGTGTTTTGAAGAAGGAACCACTCGGACTGCAGAAGTAGCTCTGTGGTTGAGTACTTGCCTAGCACATTGCAAGGCGCTGGATTTAGTCCACTGTGTGCACATACACACACATCACCACCACCACCACCACCACCACCACCACCACCACCACCACCACCACCAGAGAAAAGATTAAATGACCAGCCTAAAAGGAGTTCAGAGGTATGCTCGCCACCTACGCCCTATCCCCCCAAGACACTGTCATGGGCCCAACCTCATCTGGGAGCCCATTAGAAATGGAGATTCTGGGATCCCGCCCTTGTTTTAGATACTGAGTCAGAAACTTCTCTTTTATAAGATCCCAGAGAATTTTTTCAAGTTTAAGGAAAGGCCTAGTTGTCACTGCAGGATGACAGTCCCTAGACCAGGCCTAAGAGAAGCATGTGATTAACTTGACCTCACCTTTCCCCAGGGCTTGTCAGGAGTTGACCTGACAAGGGATTCTTCCCGTCTGACCCACACCCCAACCTTTGATTGACAGCTGAGTACTGATGGCGGGAAGAGGCCAGGCACATTGGAGTGGGATTCTGGTAACCCTGTCTTCCTCCCACCTGACCCTCTTCGCAGGCCTACATCCTGCTGGGACAGTTCCTTCTGATGCACAAGAATGAGGCAGAATTCCAGAGGTGGATGATCTGCTGTTGTGGTGCCACGGAGTACGAAGCCCGCCAGAGCTCCACCTGCCTGAAGGAGTGGTGTGCCTGCTTCCTGTAAACACCCTGGGCTGGCTGCTCTACCCCAGATAAATGATACCATCACCATCTACACCCAGGCTCCAGCTGTTGCTAGTGTTTCTAATTTTATTATCATTTGTGTATTAAGTGTCTGTGTGCATGAGTGTGTCTGTGTGTGTATATGTGAGTGTGAGTGTGTGTGTGTGTGTGTGTGTGTGTGTGTGTGTGTGTGTGTGTGTGATATACTAGTGTACCTGTTGGGGGGAGTGCTGATTGACACCAGAAGTTGGCACAGCTATCCTCCTTATTTTTTTAGACAAGGTCTCTCACTGAACTTGGAGCTCACTAATTGGGCAAGACTAGCTGGCCATCAAGTATCAGGAATCCTCCTGTGTCTAGACACATACCACCATACCAGATTTCATTTGATGTGGGTGTTAGGGATCCAAATTCAGGTCCTCCTATTTGTGTGGTATCTTAGTTAGGGTTTCTATTGAAGAGACACTATGACCATGGCAACTTTTATAAAGGAAAATATTGAGTTGGGATTGGCTTATAATTTCAGAGGTTTAGTCCATTATCATCTTGGTGAAGCATGGCGGCACACAGGCAGGCATGGTGCTAAAGAAGAAGCTGAGAGTTCAACATCTGGATCAGCAGGCATCAGGAAGAGAATGTCACACTGGGCATGACTTGAGCATCTGAGACCTGAAAGCCAGCCTCCATTGACACACTTCCTCCAGCAAAGCCACAGCTCCTAATAGAGCTGCTCCCTATGGGATTATGGGGGCCATTTTTATTCAACCACTACATGTGACAAACACTTTACTGACTGAACCATCTCCCCAATTTTTACACACACACACACACACACACACACACACACACAGAGAGTTTAATTTGTTTGTTTGTTTGTTGAGACAAGAGTTTTCTTTTCTAACTCAGGCTGGCTTGGAACTCACTATGTAACCTCAGCTGGCCTCAAACTTCCAAGTTGTGATTACAGGCATGAGCCACCATGTGTGGCTTTTCCTTAATGATGCATGAGCATCTTAAGGGTTTATGAATGTAAGAAAACCCAAATTCACCTTGAAACACACCCAGAAACCACCATCACTCTCTTTAGATGATATAATGCCAAATCGAACTCTCCAAAACTTATGTGACACTAGGCTTAGTTTTTCTTGAATGAGCATTAAAGTTCCAGTGCCTTAGTCACCGACTGCTATATAGCAAATTACCCCAATACACAACAGTTTAAAACAAACGAACTGAAAAAGAAGTCTGCTACAGGTAGAGTGAATGACCTGGCGATCAGCATCTGGAATGGGGTGGGAAGGATGGCACAACTGTACTGTGCAAGTCTAGAAACATTTGAGCTCCCAGAGCCCCCATAACAGTGGAAGGAGGCAAACAATCCCCCAAAGTTGACCTGGCATGCTCGCTGAGGCACACACGCACCACACACAGTAACATAACAATACCAATTTTAAAACTCTGAAATGCTTCCAACTTGGATTTCTCATTCTGGAACGTTTCAGATTTAGGGGTTTTGAATTAAGAATATGCAAGCCATCTTAAATCTGAACTCTAAAATTGGAAATACCTCTAAGTATTCTGGATTAGGACTTCTCAGCCTGTGTACAAGGTCCTAAGGGATAAGACTCAGAAGGTAACTCAGCTGGTTTTACCTCGCTGTCTCGTGAGGTTATAGACTGTTAGCTGGGTAGTAGCTTCCTCTAGGACTAGGCTGGAGGGTCCACTTCTAAGGAGGCTCCTTTGCGTGGCTGTTGGCTCTCTGTTCCTCATCACTGGGACTTCCACAGGGCTGCTCATGGCACAGCATGTGAAGAGAGGAGAGAGACAGAGAACACAGAGACAGAGAGAGAGAAAATACCATGCTGCTTCCTGTGACCTAGTCCTGATACACCCCTTCTGCCTGATTCCATAGTCTAGATTTTAGAAGCAAGTCATTCAGTATCCTGGGAACAAGTCCCTCTTCCTCGAAACAGCAAAGAATGCAGACATGTTTTTAAGGCCACCACTGTTGGGGTTTTCAGGTACAGCTGCACACAGTGAAGCTTCTCTTCCTAGCCATCCCCTTCCCCACTCCCAGCTCCTGGCAGCTACAAGATGATTTTCTGTCAAAGTTTTGCCTTTTCTAGAGATCCACACAAATGGAATAACACAGTATGTAGCCTTTTGAGATTGGCTTTTTAAATTTAGCATAATTCAGCTGATGCTAATCTACTACACGGGCTTTTTAAACTCCGAAAGGTTTTTCTCAGTGCTGTTGATGCCTTCTCCTGCTCGCATTCACTCTCCAGGAAAGTTTCAACAGTTTCTCCCAGGACGTAGGATGCCCTCCACTGAGGGTCCCTCTGACTACAGGAGCAGGAGCAGCCTGCAGAGGTAGGAGCAGAAACCGTGCAGTCCACAACCAGGGGGCCGGTAGATGGGTGAAGTCGGTGGGAAAACAGCGCTTTGTCATCTGGACAGGACAGCTCTAAGAAGGCACCCCAGGAGGGCCAAACCCTCACTTATCCAAAGTAGCCATTTTCTCTTTAATGCCCTGTGTCTACACCCTTCTCTCCCTACCTCACACCCCTGTCAGTGAGTGATTCCTGGGATCCCTCCAGTCTTCATGTTCTTTCTGGTTGCTGTGATACAGTATCTTGAAAAAATGCAACTTAAGAGAGAAAGGGTTTCTTTGGCTCACAGGTCCAGGTGACAGTCTATCTGGATGGTTTGCAATGTAACCAGCAGCAGGAGCTTGAGCTGGTTACATTGCACTCACAAATCAAGGAGAGAGCAATGTATGCATGCAGCTTCCTTTTTCCTCTTAAACAATCTGGGATCCCAGCCAGGGAACTGTGCCACCCACAGTGGGCAGGTCTGACCATCCAGTCTTCAGTTCCATTGGAAGCCTGCCTTTTGTCACATGATCTTGCAATCCCTCGGTCTAGAGGCAGAAAGTGATTCCCATCCTGTTGACTTACTCACCCGACTCTGTGACTTGCCTTGGCCAATGATATGGGGCTGCCTGAGGATTCTCCCACATGGATGTCCACTCTTTTGTGCCCCTACAGACACCCAGAGAAGAGCTACTGCCTTAAATGAGCATTGCTTGTCTGTCTTGGGCCCCAGAATGAATCTCAGGTGTGTTTGAGCTTACCCTAACTATAAGCAAGGACCAAAGACCAGCCAGGCTGCAACAGCTACCCATGTAGCCTTTTGGGGACCAGCCAACTCTCCACTGACTCACAGATGGAGTTACAAGAATCAAGGCTTGCAATTGACAGCTACTGATGTTTGGGGGCAGTTTGCTCTGCAGCAATATCCAACTGACACCTTCCTTCTAGTCCAGAACGATTGACTCTACCCTGCCAAAGTCCAAACACACCTTTACCTGAAGAGCCTGGGGCAGGTGAAAGAATATTGTTCTCAGAGCTAGTCAAATAGGGTTGTGAGCTCTGCCTCTGCTGACCACCACCGCACCCCGGGGAAGAGCTACTCAATTTCACTGAGCCTCAGGTTCCTTCTCCATAAGCCAAGGGCAAGACAGTGAGGTTAATATTGCTGCTGCCTCACACAGTGGATCAATGCAAATAGCATATGTAAATTACATGGTGCGGTAAGAATGAAATAAAAGACATTACTGTCTCTGGTCTCCTTGGAGCTCGGGTCTCCTAAGAGCCTGCTTCTCTCTTGGCCCTCAGGAAAGAATGAACAGCTATGTGCTAGTAGAGAGCCCAGAGAGCAGTTCATTTGCTCCAGGCCAGGTCTTCTCCAGCCTCTAAGCCCTGGACATCACATGATCCTTAGGCCATGCACATTCTTTAATGTTTCGGAAGAAAGGACAGCAGACGAACATCAACTCTATTCAGATTTTAACCTGTAACTTTGTGGAGTCACATTAGCCCCCTGTTCCCAAAGGTGTTTTAAAGGGCACACCAGAAGTGGCTTGCTTACCTGCAGGTCCTTACCCAGCCAACGGGGTCTCTTGGCTGGGTGGCGAGTCCATGATTGGGGAAGAGTGTTTTCTGAGAGCTGTGACCAGCATCTGAAGCCACAGTAAGATGTCTGCGAGATGGAGAGCTTTGGCCCTGGGTCTTGAACGTGGGTTTGGCCAGGAGTCAATGACTTTGGTTAGAATTTATCAAGTATCCAAGGTTCAAAGCATGGTTAGGTGCTGAGGTCAGACTTTCTGGTTTTGGGGAGCGATATAGCAATGAGGGGATGAATGAGAAACAGGCGGGAAGCCCAGCAAGGGTTTCACTTGAGCACTCGCCCCAGAAGTAATCCTAAGGCAAGAATCCTGTGGGGAGGTGTAGATATGAAGGGTACCCCAGGAAATGGAGATTAGGGCAGGAACATAACCACAAGGGAAGGCAGTCAATATCGGGGGGAGGGGGGTTACCACTATTTATCAGTGTGAGCAGGGGAAGCTTACCCTGAGGGGGCAATTCCAGCAGAGAGCAGCAGGTAACATGACCCAACCCTGGGATAGCCACACACAATCACCAGTTACTGGTGGTGGCTGATCCCAGGAACTGAGCTGCTCGCTAGGGAAATGCACCTCACTGGAAAGACAAAGAAACCCAGTGGGTGGCCACCAGGAAATGAGTGGGGAATACAGAGGCACCTGAAGCTTCTGCCTGGGGTATGTTATAAAGACAATGAGGCTTACTTAACTTTGAAACAGAATCTATCCCTTGCTACAAGTCAAATTATCTTTGTGAAGCCTCCCCTTGGCCCGCTGGGTGGGTGTAAAATGGTATGAATGTGTCTAGGAAGATGGGGACTCCTGGGACCTGGTCAAAGCGCTATTCACAGTGGCCCTGGCAGCCGAAATATTACAATGTACAGCACTGTGTCTTGTCACTCAAAGGAAGTGACATTTGAGCTTAGCATTAAAAGGGAGGTCCCCCTTGAATAAGCTGAGGATGAGGAAGGGAGAAGGGGAGGGAAAAGGGGAAAGAAAAAGGGTAGGGGCAGAGTGGGAATGGGGGGGGGGGCAAAAACACAACCCAGCCGATTCACTCCAGGTACTCCTAATGCCAAAACTGTGCCTGCTGCCTGGAAAGCCCC